TAGTCTGTTACAAAATGGTTGGTATGACTTTCCTCCCTGTCTCTGAAGATGAGGACCCCATGGTGAGGAGGATGAGGTCTCTGGGTGAGGTGGGAGCCATGCCAGTCCTCAGGGATGCTTCCAAGGCCCACGTCAGCTCCCCGGAAGCTGAGAAGGTACCATCTGCCCCTGGCAGGGGCAGAGTAATGTGACAGAAAGAGCATGGGGCTCAAGTCATAAGACCTGAGTTTGATCCTGATTTTGTATGTACTGGCTGTGCACACTGGGGACATTTCTTTCCTGTCTTACGGAGATGGGCTGTTCTCTTCCCTGGGCCACCCTGCATGCACCCTGACCCAGATCACGGGTGGGGCAACCCCTGACACACAGGATCTACTCCAGGAAGTGAGCTACATAGAATATTCTCAGGATCTTTAGCTCCTGCTTGTGAGGGTTTGGTGGGGTTGACAAAGGAAGAGCCCCTCGGTTTTTGTATTTTCCCTTGCCCCAAGTCATCCTGTAGTAACTATGATTACTCTTCTTTTTCTTTTCTTGACCATTCCAAGGGGGAGTTTGCCATTGAATTAATAAACTGTTAAAACCCAGGAATCTCAAAGTTCCTTTCCTCTTCCTATCTGGAAGTCCTATTTGTCTACCCAAGGAGAGGGAGTGAGGCCAGCTGGACTAAGCCCCATCAACAGAGCCACGACGCTCACTGAGATGCAGGTTTACACTGAGATGCTAGAGAACGTCTCACCAGCCAAATCCCCAGGAAAATGTGTCCAGGAATGAGCGCCAGCAGTCTGGAAAGCCTTACAAAATCAACCAGAGAGCAATTTGCTGAAAAACTTCCTGGCCCCCTGCCACAAGAGGCTCCTTCTCAGTGCGGCTTTGCACCGAATTTAATGGACAGCAGAGGGCAATTCCAGACGCCAAACTCCTCTCCCACCTTCCTCTGGCCATGTTCGTTGGTTTTAATGATGGAGTGGAGGTCTCCTTCCCTGTGGGCTAGATAGCCCATGTCGAGATAGAGGAGTCCCACTGGTCACTTTCTCCCCTGGTCTCAGTAGCTCCCAGTCGCTAATCAAAGCTTTTATCACTACAGGGCAGATGCCAGAGACAGAAAGGCCAGGTGTGTTCCAGCCCCAGGGTGTGTGTGTCTGAGTGTTTGCACAGGCGTATATGGAGAGGACAGAGGTGGCTGCAGCTTCAGCAAGGTCAGAAAACCAGTAGCCGCCAACTGGCCTGCCCTAGGGTGTCAGCACAAACTAAGTGGGTCACCTCCCACTTCCTGGGTCCCTTTCATTTCTGCAGCTCATAGAGGGAAAACTACTTCTACATTGTAGAGGGGGTAAAGAGATTGAGGGAAGCCCACTTCTCCCCCTCTCCCCACTAGGCCTTGTTCTGTCCTGAGAACATGGTTTAAAATATTCTAGTCACAGCTCAGACTATTCAAATAAAATAGAATTTTAAACCACACGGGGCTTGTTGAGACATTCAGTCTGCTAGGATGTGTGAAAGGCAGGGGGAGGGGCGGAGACGGCCCCTGCCACTCTCCCATCCTTTTTATTACCAGCAGCTGCAATACTAGACACATCCCAGTGTGTCTCCCCACCCGGGGGACGCGGGCAGTTCTGACAGCTAGCGAGCGCATGAAAGCCACTGCAAGGCTCCCCTCCCCACTGGCAATTTTAATTATTTGAACTGGAGCTCAGCAAAATTAAAATAAAATAAAATCTGAATGTGTTGTAAGTGGCTCCTCAGTTTCTTGCAGAGAATAGTTTGTGGGTAGGAGAGTGGGGCAGGGCTGGGCAGAGGTCTTTAAATATTCATGCCCCACATGCCACAGTGCAGAGCCATGGAGGCGGCGGCGTCTGCATCAAGGCCAGGCAGTGGAGAGAGGCCCTGGCGACAGTGGCTGCAGGGATCTGGAGGGCGGAGGCCAGAGCTGGCATGCTTCTGAAATGCCCAGGAAGCTGGTTGGCACAAAGGCACACCCTGGCTATGTCTCCATCATCAGTAGGCATCTGACCTAGCTCCATGTGGCTCTCAGAGAGGCTCCCCCTTCTGTCTCCACCATCTCTGTCCCCCACACCATCAGTCAATTCTAACCACCCCCTTGCACTCATCTTTCTAAAAAGGCAAGTTACATCACAATCTTTGGCGCCCCAGGTAATGGAGGATAGCTCTCAGCTTGGGCTCAGAATGAATTTCAGTCACAACAGGCAAGGACACCTATGGCTAGTCACTCTTTTTTTTTGGCTAGTCACTCTTAAGTTTCAGTGTGCATCCAAATCACCAATGGTGGGGTTTGAAAATGCAGATTCCTGGGCCCTTGTCAGTGACGTCATTCAGGAAGTCTGGGGTGGGGCCCAAGAATCTGCATCTGTCATATTTTCCAAGTGACTGCAACTGGAGAAACACAGACCTACCAGTAGCTTGTAGCCAGATTTTCAAGGAAATGCACTGAAGGCGACACCAGTTGCCCTTTGGGATCCACTGATGATTGTAGTTTCTCAAGAGTATTTTGAGTTATTCGGCAATTACTTCAACTTTCTGGAGGCCGTGGACCAGGACTGTTAGGGTTTAGAGAAGACGCTCGGGGTGGGTGTCAGCTGGGAGCTCAGTGCTTCCAGCCTGTCCCCATTGGCCTGACTCTCACCAGAGACTTCCACCCATGTCTCTATCTAGTATCCACCTTCCTGCACCAGGGTCCCGTAGCCAGTGGAGGCCCCTTTAGGATTGGAGGGAGGTTAACCTCACACAGTCCCACACAGCAACGCAACATCTGTTTCTCTGTCACTGACGTTCAGCCAACCTGGGAGAAGGAAATCAACTTCCTGCCTTCTGTATTTAGGATTCGAGGGAAACAGATGGCAGGGCTTACAAACCTGGAAATGCATATTTCTATTTTGACCATTTATTTTTCTGATGAAAACATTTCCCCAACATTGGGAATTCAAAGACCCAGCAGCCTGAGATGAATGATCTGAAACCCTGAATGTGAAATAACTGTGAGCTGAAAATGGAGTGGTCTCCCTGCCTTCCCTTCAATCCTCGTGCTGAGCCAAGCTCTGGAAAAGGGCAGGAAATAACAGAACCCGCCCAGAGCAAATGTGACTGGAGGAATAATAAAATAGGCCAGTAAAACAAAACATTTGTTTAAGCTATTGATCAACCCAAAGGTTATTAGAGAAATGATGAAGTATTAGAAAAATATCATTTTTACCTTGACATTTCTTTTTTTTGAAATCAGGCTCACATTAAAACTAGTGAAAAATAAATTTGAAGGTGAAGTGATTATAAGGATTCCCCTTGCCTGTCAGACAGGCCAATCACCTCACCTCATTTAGATTTCCTCTTAAGAAACCTCCCTTTCTAGGTGATGCTCTGAGACACCCGAGAAATATGAACGATGACTGAGTAATTCCACCATTTGCGGCGGAGAGCATGGTTTCTCAAATGCAATTTAACATAATGAATCTACTTATTTGTGCCCTGACTTCTTCCAGAAAGGATTTAAGGTGGCTCACAGAGATACATAAAACATACACTAGGAGAAGGTGAGGGTGATGGGGTAGATGTCAAGTAACAACATAAAAGCGAATCAGGAGCGAGTCTGCTGTAAACTTACTGGGTAAAGACAGACTTAACTCTACCACTCTTCTGATTAAAAAACCATCATTGATACATCTTTTCCATTCTCCTTTGTTTTATGTCTGTGAGTTTTCAGTTCACAAAAAGACTGGAGGGCTTGGATTTGCCTGTACAGGAAATGGCAACCCACTGCAGTATTCTTGCGAGGAAATACCACGGACAGACTGTGGTATTACATAGGCAACTGTGGCGGGTTACAGTCCATAAAATCACAAGAGGCGGGATTCAGGGACTAAATCACCTCTTTCCTGCACCTCTGCTGGTCAAAGCCCCGCCTGCCGGGCACTGCCACCAGCCTGCTGAGGGGATGTGAATGTGGTCAGTTTCACAACATCCACAACTTGAAAGGCAACAAATTGCTCTGAGAGCACAGAGCTATTCCAAAAAGAAGCCAGAAAGGACTTTCTCCTGTGAGTTTTCAGAAAGATAGGGTTGGCCAAATTTAAATTCAGTCCTGACTTCCTACTGTGTGCATGATATCGTCACAATGCTGGGCCAGTGTGGAGAAGTGCAGCCTGGTTGTTGGCTGAAGTTCTCTTCCTCCTCTCCCATTCTTCTCTGCATATTTATACAGGGTTTCAGACACTGCTGGTTAATCTTTGTGCTACTTACTTTGTACTAGACTGCATGACAAGCCCTTTACAAATGTTAACCTATTTAAGCTTCACCTCCCTGGGGTAGGCACTCTCCAGGTGGGAAAATTGAGGCACTGAGAGGTTATTAATGGATAAAACAAATTAGACCACCACTCAGTGATGGAACCTGGATTGGTAGTTGATCCCAGAGTCCATAAGCTTAATCACTGGGCCCTCCTGGGGGTCTAAGCTCATCTCCTGGTCCCTAGAGAATATGACCTTGGGCTAAGAATCCCGGCACTGGGCTCTCAGTTCCCACACTGAAGGGGTAACAGCTACACTAACTGTCTGGGCCAGTGGCTCTGGAGGCACTTCACTGACTGCCATTGATGCCTTAGTGATATTTATGTAAGTCAAAGTGTTGATGCTTTGAGACTTTGAAACGTATTGTAAGAGACTGACATCTTTTAAAAGGATTCTGTAGAAAGTTGCTGTTACCATTGCCTCTTAAGTCTTGGAAATATTTTGAAGGTGCTGACATCAAAGTTCTATTGCAAATAGTTCAGTGCAGCTGAGTGTGGTGTTTAAGGTGAAATTCTCTGAAGACAGGAGTTTACCATGTTGGTAGCTACTGTCTGCCTTGAAGATGGTGCAAATGGCCCTCTGATCCTCCCGCAGGAGAACAAGAAGACTGACCATCAGTCTATTTTGCTCATCTGTGCGCGTTCACCTGGAAGTGCCCGGAAGTGGGAGGAGCAGGCAGAGAACTAGAGGAACACCAAGACTTGCCTCACACGGAGAGTTCTTCATGGGCGCGGGAAATGCAGCGCTGGTCACTGTGGCATTTTCAGAGGTGGGGGCGTCAGTGATGCTGAGCAGTAGGGCATGGCCTGGGCAGAGAGGAGAAGAGTCAAAACTGCACCATCCTTGTGCACTGAAGGGCCTTGGGGTGCAAGGTTAATGGGCCCCGCACTATTCTTCTCTAGCCTCAGGACTGAAGACACTGTTGCTTCTGCTGCCAGTGGGTAAGATAGCCTGTTTCTCACTGATTATGAGACTAGGCTTGTGCAGAGGTCTTTGTTCTAAACGGCCTGTGACATTCCAGCACCGTACATCTGGGTTACTGCGTTCCCTGATCTCCCACAGCCACCAGCTTTAGCTCATAGCCCGGGAGCAGCCTGAAGCATGCTGGACTTCCCCAGGTCAACCCCTGCCCCCTGTTTCCAGTCATGCCAGTGCTTTGCCCTCCAATGGTCTCAGAACCTTCACTGTCTACTCCCCTCTCCAGAGCCCAGGTCAGCCTGTGACCCATGCCCTGACCAGGAAGACTCATTTATTCTTTTCTAAGCACTGACCTGCCGGAAAACCTGGCAGAACATGAGCCTCAGTCCAACATGTGGTGGTGGGAAGGAGCATCTGCAAATGTCCAGGAGTGCCTGCAGATGTTTGGTGTTGTGGAGGTGGGGGCCAGAGTGAGCCCAGGGGCCTCACTTTCAGGGGCCTCACAGAGTCCCAGATTGGACTCTAGTCATTCATTTCTGTGTTTCTCTATCTCTTAGCAAGTCCTTATAGAGTTACTACCAAGTAACAAATTCAGAGGGGTCCAGAGGAAAGTAACTAGACCAGGCCAGAAATCTTAGAAAACACCCTCCCACCCTTGAGGAAAAATCAAATGGCCAAGGTTATGTAACAAGGGAGGGAAAAGACCTGCTGTGGTAGAAAGGTCATAATGGTTGTCTTCAAATATCTGAAGGGCTGCCTCTGTGGGAGAGGGCACAGTTTAGTTCTGTGGGGCTCCAGGAGACAGAAATCATGATCACTGAGAAGAATTTACAGAGGGGTGGGGCTCATCTCCAGGTAAGGGAAATGGATGTGCGACTCTGAGCCGTTAAGCAACGAAAAGGGCTGCTTTTGTAGGGAGTGAGAGCCCTGTCACAAGAGGCATTCAACAGGGCTGGACACATTTGCTATGGGTGCTGTCGGGGACTGTCAGAGCAGAGACGAAGATCACGTCTCACGTTGGGCTTTGAGCTGTTTGTCTTCTCTGCTCCTGCAGACCAGGCACTGAGCATGAGGCAGTGTGGCGAGAAGGCTGGAGGCGAAGTGAGAGCTCTTGGCCTCCACATCTGGGGAGGGCCCTGCAGACTCCCCCATGGTCCAGTAACTGAGCCTCCCTCCCAGCCGGGCCCAAAGCCAGCTCACTAGATGCAGCCAGATCTGGGGACCAAGGACAGACCTGCAGGGGTGCTGAGATCCTCAGTGGTAGATTTGGACCTTGTCCTCTCTCATACATATCACTACTATTAATTCTTAAAGGAAGCTGTAGGATGCACAAGCTTTGCTTGGAAAGAGAGGAATTTTGGTACAAGGGACTCCAGCTGGAGCAGGTAAACACAGGGGAGGGGGGAGAGACCCCCTGCATCCTGCAAGGGGCCTCCGGGTCTGCTAGACCTATCCATGGTGCACAGGGCAAGGAGAAGCCCATGACTGGATGGTGTGGCCTCTCCAGGGGCCCAGCTCTGGGAGCTGCACTGGCCTCACAGACCACCTCTGATCCCATGTCCAGGCCAGCACCTCCAGGTGTGGAGTCAGCCCAGTGTGGGTGGCATCTCCTGGGTGCGTGGAGACCCCATGCCCCTCTGGCAGTCAAGCAGGGCCTATGAGAAGATGGGCTACAAAAGAAGGGTGGGAGTTGCCAGTTTCAGCTGGATATAGTGGTAGGGTTTGGCTGAGGAAGTTGGGCCCCAGGAAATGATCTAGATACAGCAAGGTTCCTAGGCACGATACTGGGGCAAGTGACAGGAGGACCTCCCTGAGTCCCAGTTTCCCACATCATAAAGTCTCCCACCTCTCTGCAGGAAGGAGGGGGTCTCTCTCCCCTCCCCTCTGCTCCCCTGTGTTTACTTGCTCCAGCTGGAGTCCCTTGTACAAAATTCCTCTCTTTTCAAGCAAAGATTGTGCAATAAGGAAAAATAACTGTTTTCCTTATTTCTCAGTCAATTCTGTGCTTAATACACAGCAGGTTTCAACAAACTTGTCAAATTTTTATTATTGTTACTGTTGTTTTTATTTTTCAGCTAATCTTTTATCAAAGTTCTCATTTTAAGGATCAAAGGATCAAAAGGCAACGTCAGCTTTGGCTTGATTTGCCCAAGAGGGTCTGAAGAAATTGTGTGGGCACACCCCAGGACAGACGGGGGGAGGTCCAGTGGCTCTGGGTGGTGTCCCAATTCTGCTGTGGCCAGGTAGGCACCAGGGAAGGGAAGAGAGGGTGGTACCTTGATGGTCCTGGAACCGGGCATCCTTTAAGGTCCGGACTTGCCACTGGGGCATGTGGGGTGATGGTGAGCTTTGGGTCCAGCCGCAGAAGCCATCCTCGAAGTCACAGTAAAAACCAGCAGGGAGTTTACCTGCAGGAAGGGCACAGGGGCACAATCATCGCTGGGACTGCTAAACCCAAAACATCAAGGAAAATTAGCCAGTCATAACCATTCTCTTTAATAACAGCTACCCAACCAGACCCACAATATCTACTGCTGCTTATAGTGAAGAGAAGCCTAATCTCTTGTACATGTGCTGGTTTACTGTTTTCTGATCTTCTGAAAATAATAATAACTTCACAGTATGGGGTATCACTAACCCAGCTTTATATATCAGGAAGCAGAGGCTCAGCGATGTTAAGCAACTTAACCAAGGTCACAGAGTCCACAAGCAACCCTGCTGGGATTTGAACCAGCTCTTCTGCCATATTTATTTATTTGTTTGCTTTTGCCTGTGTTGGGTCCTCCCTGCTGTGCACAGGTCTTCTGATTGCAGAGAGCAGGGGCTACTCCTCGTTGCAGGGGATGGGCTTCTCATTGTGGGGGATTCTCCTGTTGTGGAGCACAGGCTCAAGGGCACACGGGCTTTAGTAGTTGTGGCACACAGGCTCACTTGCCCCACAGCATGAGGAATCTTCCTGGACCAGGGATCAAACCTATGTCCCTGGCATTGGCAGGCGAATTCTTAACCCCTGGACCACCAGGGAAGTCCCTCTTCTGCTTTTAAATTATGTGCTCTTCACACAGATCCACCATGAGCAGGACCCTAGAAAAGCCAGTGTATATATATATATCTCACTGAACTACACTTCCAGTGATCAGCACAATGATAAGAATGTGGTGGTGGCAGTGGTAGTGTTGGCTGGAAGGTGGTTGGTTTGGGTCCCTCAAATCACCTCTGTCTGCAGAGACACATACTGCTCAAAACTATTTGTTTCCCTTTATTTCCCAATCCCCTTGCAGTTAAGTGAAACGCCATGGCTGGTTCTGGCCAATGGCATGTGAATGGAAGTGATGTGTGTCTCCTCTGGAGTGAGGCTGTGAAAAGCCCTGGTGTAGATTTCAGTCTCTCTCTTCTCCTGCTGAAGTGACCAAGGAGAATTCTCGTTCCTGGGAGCGCTGCTGCAGGAAGATGGCGCTTCTGCCAGCAGGAGAGATCCTGTGGGGTAGGGGCCCCTCCCCACAGCCCTCAGTGGACAGGAAGAACCGTAAATGTTATGTTAAGCCACTGGAATCTGGGGATGGTTTATTACTGCAGCATAACCTAGCCTATCCTGACTAAGCAACCCCAGCCCCTGGGGCCTCTTCATATCATCTGTTGGCTCAGCATAAATGGTCCTGTTAGCACTTTTCTCCTTATCAGCCCGACCTCAGGTCCCATTAAAGAGGCCACTGTCAGTTCTCGAGACCATATATTTCCCCACGGCCCACGGAGAAGGACGGGAGCAGAGGGGTAGAGAGAGCTCCCTTGCTTCCGCTCACTCGTAGAATGGCTGGAAGGTTCTCAGCCCTGAGGAGCGAGTGGGTTTTCCAGACTACCCTGATGGTATCCAACAGCCCCGGCCAGGCCTGTCTCCACGGGGGAGCTCTCGAGCAGGGCCCAGCACCCTCAGTCTCCTTTCTCTGTCTCAGCCTTCTTGGCAGCGGCAGGCTGACACCCAGGGCCCTAACACTTCCTGGCTGTGACAGCACCTTAGTGAATTATTACTCATTTCCCCCTGATTCTCTGTGCATTTCACACAGAGGCAGAATTATAAATTAAAACAGGCTGTCACTGACTCTGAGCATCTCTTCCCATTTATACCCCCCTGAAGAAATCATCCCCACCCCCAGTCCCACATGTTCCTCTGATTAAAAATCCAAAAGCTAAGGGGATCTTTCTATTTTATTTTTTATGCCCCCCTCAAGGAATTTCACATTCACTTCTTTAGCAAAAACTAACTGGTAGCTGGAAGCGACCTTCCAGAAAACGTCCTTCACACATGTGCTTAAACCAAAACCACAATGGAAGATTCCAACAGGCAACAATGGGCTCCAGGTAGAAGGAAGACGCGGGGCTGAGCTGGGTCCTGCACAGCGTATCGCCCCCTCCTCCCTCTTCCAGGAAGTGGAGGCAGAGAACTTAGCCCGACTTATCGGTGTTGGTGCCTCATCAGCACCAGACACCTGTGCCCTGGTCCGAACCTCTCTGCTTTCTGCAAGTGACCCCAGACAAGTCACTTCCTTCCCCAAATCCCTCATCTGTAAAGTGGGGTAAGGTAGTGTATATTTCACAGGGCTATTTTGAGGACAAAGTAAGGGAAAGAGTATGGAAACATTCTGTAAACACAGCAGTAGTGGCATTATGAATCATCATTCATGTCTAGGCAGGGAAACTCAACATCTGAAACTGCCAACACTGCCCTCGGGGCCAGAGATGGGTCCCTCAGCTCCTCTCTGGAGATGCCTGGGCCTTCCACTGGGACAGGAATGAGGAAAGTCATTGGCATTCTCCGCCTTCTGGAAACCCATTCTTGTCCTAACTTGGCATAGGATCCAGGGTGAGCTGAGGTCAGAAGACCCTTTCTTTTTGGATGATTGAATAAAGGAAGATGAGATAGGCCAAAATAGGTCAATGGGCAACTTATGCGACAACTAAAACCTTGAAGGGTGGGCAGTGGTGCTGAGAGGATTTCTACCAGTGTAAGAACATCAGAGCATGTGCTCAGCAAGGAGCCAGTCCTGAGGAAGATGGTGGGGTGGGTGCCAGCGTCAAGCCCTTGGCAGATCAGGCTGGGGTGGGGAAATTGCTGCTAAGACCATTGCTGAGCACTGTTGGCACCCCGTGTTGGATCTAAGGTGTTACCTCATCCATTTCAAGCACCAACTCAGTGCCTGGCATGTTGCAGGGCCTCAAAACTTATTTGTTGAATGAAATGGGAGTTGGTCGATCTCAGGGTCAGGAAGGAGGAAATGACAACCCACTCCAGTATTCTTGCTCAGAGAATCCCATGGACAGAGAAGCCTGGCAGGCTATATAGTCCATGAGGTTGCAAAGGGTGAGGACACGACTGAGTGCTAACACTTTCACTTTCTTCAGCCCCCTAACTCTCTGCCACTTAGAATGTGGTCCAGGAGCCAGTCACACCTGCATCACCAGTGAAACTGTTAGTTGTGCAGAATCTCAGGTCTCCCCTCCCTACCCCCACCTACTGAATCAGAATTTGCATTTTTAATGCTCTTCACATGACTCCAGGCACCTTAATGTCTGAAAGGCACTGCTGTAACCCACCCTCTTCTTGGGCTGCAGCCAGGTACTTCGTTGGCTGGATGGCCAAATCGGCTATGTGTGGGTCAGTCAATCCCACAACATTCAGCAATTATGACACCTGATTCCACTCTAAGAGAGACAAACTGTTCAGGTCACAGAGATGTGACCTCAGCAGCAGCTGCAGGAGCTGCCAAGTATAAACTGCAGGCCAAACGACACTACTTCTTTTCCTTCCTGTGTGACAACTCTGTTAACATTTTTGATAAATATGTGTTATACATTTCCTTGAAAATATAGTCATGGGAAAAATGCTAGAAGAAATACATCAAAATATTATGGTTATCTCTGAATGTCTGAGAGGGAGGATTATGGGCAATAGTTATTTTCTCCTGTGTACTTTTTGATTTTCCAAATATTTTACAACCAACATGTTTTATTTTACAATAAAGAAATAAACCTAAAAACAAAACAAAACAAACAGTTTTCGCCTGACAGGAAGAGTATTCCAATAAACAGATGAGATTATTGAGTACGTGGAGGGGGAGTGAGCTGCCTGCAACATTGAGTGAATCCATGACCCACCCACCTGACCCACCTGACCCTCTTCTGGGACACTGCATGCCTTCAAGGTCAATGCTTAGGACACAGAGGGAACCTTGAAGACACCCTTCAATGGGTCACAGCATTCGGGGGTGTAGACATGAACTGGCTATGTTTAAGTAGAAAGAGGTGTATGGTGTATGGGCTTGGAGGATGGGATGTGAACGGACACGTTCCTGATTGGATGGAGAAGGGCAAGAGCAGTGCCACCTCCATTTCAGGTCCCCAACTTGTCTCAGTCAGAAATGCCCCTCAAGGTTGAGCCTGATAATCTGAATGAAGCTTAGTGTGAGTGTCTAATTCCTTCTGGGGAAACTGTGGGAAGTTGAGGCTGGGAGTTGACAGGATACAACCTACTTTTTCCCTCTGAATTTCAACCATGGTTGAACACCCTGGTTTAAATTTAGTGACCCTCATGGGGACATCCCCAAAATCTTAAAGTGACTACTGCTCAGAGAATATGTTCCAATAGGTTCCAGACCACCTGGGACGGACCAGATGAAGTCAAGAGCATTATCTTTAACGCATCATGGACAACAGCACCTCAGCAAACATCATGTTCCAACTCATATTACTGATGAGGAAACTGAGGCCTAGAGGGTAGAGATGAGTGATCTGAGTGCCCCCCGAGAAGAGCTCTGGACCTTCCCTGCCTTTTCCTGGCCTCTTCTTCCTGCGTGGATATGTGGTGAGAGTTGTATTGGAAATTGCTGGGAACGCATGAAACTAGTGAGTCTGGCTTGCAGTGACTAAGAGCATGGGCTTTGAAGTCAGCCTGGATCTGAATCACTGCTCAGCCACTGGCTAGCAGTCTGATGGACTCCAGGTTCCTCATCTGTAACATGGGCACAATAGCATTATTGCAATAGGATTGCTGTGAGGGTGAAATAAGTTAATGCATGAAGAGTGTTCAGAGCAGCTCCGAGCATATAGAAAATTCTCAGTGTTAGTTGTTACTATGACTATTATTATCTTCATGGAGTTGGTTTCCAGAATCAACATTAGCCAGTGTGATGGGGAAAACAGCTTAAATACTGAGAGAACAGGGGTGCTCATAAAAGGAAAAGGATATTTACCAAGAGTATGACCAAGATCAGAGTGGCAAAAAGATCAGAATAACCCTCCTTCTAATTGGACTTTCCTTCTATCAACCGACTTCTGTAGCGAAGAGCTCGGTGGGGTGTTCTCCAGGATGGAGCGGTCATTCTGACAGCTGGTCAGAGCAACTTTTCAAGTGTGGCTGAAAAGGCTTCTGGGCTCCAGGTGCCCACCCTCCTTACTGGAAACAGGCTGCCCTCAAGCTTGGAGTTGGCCCTGAAAGCCCATTAATGGCAAGCCCCAAAATGGTGGGAAAGTGCCCTAAATCCACAGTAATGAGCTGGATCCTGCAGGCTCAAAGCTCTAATCATAGCTCTGTTCCCGACATGCTGCGTGACCCTGAACAAATCAATTACCTTCTCTGTGCTTTCATTTTCCCAGTTGTAAATCAGGGCATGGACTGCCTGACCTGTGTCCCAGCTGGGAAGTGGGTATCAAAAACTTTGAAAAGGCCAAGGCAAAGTCACACAGCTCAGAGGCACTGCTGGAAATACTATAGAGACAAATAACTAGAGAGAGACACACATGCAGGCTGGGTCCAGGGCAGCACGGGTGGGCCTGGCTTCTTGTTGGTCCCTGTGTGTGTAGTGAGAGCTTGGAGAAAAAGCCAGGAGCAGAATAGCTGTGGAACAAGCTAAGAGCTTACCTGCTGCTCATTACTGAGTTATATCCAAACAACCACTATTCCATGATTATTGGAAAATGTCACTGGAAAGTTTTGTATAAAAAGGAAGATTTTAAAATTGAAAAATGGATTTCTTTACTGTTTCACTTGAAAGGGAATATATAAAATCTTTTTTCTGTTAAGGGAAAAATCTGTCCTCCAAATGACCTTAGGGACACTGTGAACTTCTTAGAGCTGTCTGGCAGGCAGACCACAGCGTCCTGGAGCCACTGTATCCGAAGGGCACTGCCTTGGCTGCCCGGGGCCCCACCCCTGGCTGCTGTGTCCTTTCCCAACCACCATCCCCTTGTTTCACTCCCTGCCTGTGTGTTGGAGTTTCAGCTCTATGAAGACAGAGGCTGTGTTATTTGTCTGTGCTCCAGGACACTTTTTAGTTCACTTTACATGTGTTCTGTACGTGCCTGCGGTTTTCCTGGAAGAAATGTCTAGAGTGTTCACTCCTCCCCAGGCGGCTGCTGAGAACACTGTCTTCAAGTGGAGTGAGCACTGGGCTGGGAGTCAACTCTGCCCCTAGCTCCCAGTGAGACCTCAGCAAGCTGTGTCCTCTGGGGAGCCCAGGCTCCCCAACTCATGTATTCATGTTAATCAACAAGGAGTCAGTGAGCACGTATGCTGCACCAGGAATCATCGGAGATCTTGGTATGGGGAAGAGTACCAGACCCACTCTGTCCCTATCAGGGGAGAGAGGCATGGAAACCACCTCCAAGAAACGTAATGGATGCACCCCTACTAGGATGGCTAACATTAAAGAGGCAGACAACAGCAAGTGTTGATGAGGATATGAGGAAACTGGAAACCCTTATACGTTATTGGTGGGAATGTAAGATGGTATAGCCATTTTGGAAAACAGCTTAGAAGTTCCTCAAAATGTTAAACATAGAGTTATTATATGACCCAGCAAATCTATTCCTTGGTAGGAAATCTCATTTCTAAGAGAAATGAAAACATCTGTCTACACAAAAACTTGTATATGAATATTCACAACAGCCCAAAAGTGGAAACAACCCAAATGCTCATCCATTGATGAATGGATAAACAAAATATGGTATAGCAATACAATAAAATAGTTATTGGAGATAAAAAGGAATCAAGTACTGACATGTGCTAAAACACGGATGGGCCTCAAAAACATTATGCTAAGTGAAAGAAGCTAATCACAAAAGACCACATATTATCCGATTCCATTTGTATGAAATGCACATCTATAGAAACAGTAAGTAGATTAGTGGTTACTTAGGGCTAGCAGGAGCTGAGGGGGGAAGAGGCGGAGGAAGCCGAAGGGGGAGGGATAGGAGGGAATTGAGAGATTGCCGAGGGTTTCTTTTTGGAGTGATAAAAATGTTCTAAAATTAGATTGCGGTAATGGCTGCATAGTTGTGACTACACTTAAATTGTACACTTTAAACGAGTGAATTGTATGGTACGTAAATTATATCTCTCAAAAGATGTTAAAAAGTAATGAATATTATGGTGTATGGATGCGGGGCAGGGGTAGGGTTGCATGGAGGAAGAAGAACCAACTGTACTGGTTGGCAATGGTCAGAAGATGCTTCTCAGAGGGTCTGACTTTTGAAGTGAGTCTTGAAAGAGCAGATGTGACTTAAGATGGGAAAGGGCATTCCGGGAAGGGAAAGGACACAAACAAATTCAGGAAGGTGTGAGGGAGCTCAGAGGAGGTTTGATATGGCTGGAACTGGGGTACATGGAAGGCTGTGAGGATAAGGGAGGCATGTGGGTGATGAAAGCAAAGCTTAAAAAGTGAAGGAGGTCTGGGCCTCGAAGGTTTCGCATGTCATGTTCTAGTTGGGCTGTAGTCTGCACATTTTCTCTATATATGAGGATGCTGAGAGCATAACATAAGATCTCGCTTGGTTCTTAACTGCACAGTATTTCTAGACCATGGGTCTTAGCTCCATCTTTTGAAGACTTGTGTAAGTTTTGAAAGTTGCCACTGGGAGGACATAAGTGTCACTGGACGTAAGGTAGGTTGCTCAAGCTTGCCTGCCTCGGGTGGTGGGGGAAGGGGGGGATGTGAGCACAGTGTGGGGCAGGTGGGGCAGCCCCATCTACTCACGGCACAGCTGGCCCTCGTCTTCTCCCTGGACACAGTCCCGGTGGAAGTCACAGGCCTGCCCGAGCTGAAGGACTGTCCCATTCCAGCAAGTGAAGGAACTCTGCAAGGCCATCTTGGAGCCCGGGGATGTTCCTGGAGGGCACACAGAGACACAACCCTGGTCAGCTCAGCAGTCCTGCAGGAAGGATGTAGAGAGGCATCCCTCCGTACCGTTCATAGCTCACGGCCCGAGAGAACCCTGGCTTCAGTCTGGGCCAAACCAGGGTTAACACCAGGAGGCGGAGAGGAAGTCAGAGCCCTGACCCCACAGACCCCTGGCTGTGATGTCAGTGGTAGAGTGGCCTGAGCTTTGAGCCATGCTCCCCCAACACTGTGGGGTCCTCCAACCTGTGGCTTTAGTGTTCCAGGTGGACAGCCTACAGGGCCTCAAAGCTGCCCTCTCCCTCTCATGGCAGGGGCTTGCCGGAGGTGGCCGTGGGCCCTCTTCCACAGGCTAGTCCCGGAAGGGCTCAGTTTGTCAGCAGATGGCAGATGGCCACCTGTCACTGTCCAGCCTAGCTGGACATTCTCATTAGCTCTTGGGCATGGGAAACACATAGCCCCTGCTTCCTTTGGGAATCAGATCTAAACTCTTTAACCTGTTCTTAAACATTCTCTGTGATCTGGGTCCAAATTACCTTTCCTGTCTCACTTCTCTCGGTCTCTCCCCATGATCCCTGGGCTCCAGATCCACCCGGCCTTGGTTGCATGCAACCTGGTTCTAGAATACCCATTCCCAGAACATCTTCTCCACCAAGTTGACTGAGCCTCTGTGTGTTCCCAGCCCTAGCCAGTGCCCAGTTTACAAAAACTGTGAACATTAGGTGACCCATCAGTGGCTGGCTGAATAATGCCTCCCCATCAACATCCATATCCCAATCCCCCAAACCTGGAAATATGTTACTTTATGTAGCTCGCTGTGATTTTTAGATGGCAGGTTATCCTGATTATCCAGGTGGGCCCAATGTAATCACAGGGTTCTTATGAGATGGTGACGAGATAGTCAAATTGAGAAGAAGGCCTGATGAGGGCAGCAAGATTTTGGAGTCATGGGAGGAAGAGGTTGAAGGTATTTAGTATAACAAGAAAAATTCTCCTTCACTTTTGCTTGCTGATTTCTAGTTTCCAAAGTATTTTTTTCTTATTCCTTATACATGCTCATGAAATGCACTTAGGACCTTGTTGCCCTCATTCTCAGTCCTACCAAAGAAAACATGAGCAAAATAAAATGCTTGTAAAGTCTTCCCCAGCCTATGAAACAAATGTAAGCCGTGTCCTGTTTTATTCACACCTTATGATTAGGCCTTGTTTCTCATCATGTGTTTTCATGAACACGTGCATGTTTCATACACCAATTACTTGTCATTCCCCAAATAGCTTTTACTTTTACAGTTCCTTTTACTTTCCTTCATTTGAAAAATATATGCCTATTGTCTAAAGTTCAAAACCAGGGTAAAAATCAACAAAACAATGCTCAGAATCCCACTACCCAGAGGCCATAATTTTTAACATCTCGGTAGATTTCTCTTTTGTTTTTGGCCTATGCTTTAAAAGTGTGTAGAGTTGTGTCATATGTGTACATTGCTTAAATCAATTGAGGTTATATTGCAAGCTTTTTCTAGGGTTTAAAAATTCCCCATAAGAATACTTTTTAGTAGCTACAATACTACGTGATATGTACCATAATTTATTTCAACATTATTCAGTGATCAAATTGTTAGACTGTTTATAATAACACTTTGAAGGATATCTTTGAGCATAAATTTTTACCCGCCTTTCAGATTATTTTCATAGGATAGATTCCCAGAAGTGGAATTACTGAATCAAAGGGTATAAACATTTTAAAGGCCCTTGATACATATTGCCAAATTGCTTTCTAGAAGTTAATCCAATTTATACTCTCACCAGCTGTGTTCATACATGCATGCCCCTCTTACTACATCCTGGCCAGCTCTGAACATTATCGTGATTTTTAACTAAAAGTATTTCCCTGCTGTTTTATTTGTATTTCTTTGCTAGTGAGGGTGAATATTTTTTTCCACATGTTATTAGCTTTATCTTACCCTGATTTTTAGGGAATTGCCCACTTCCTTTTGCCAATTAACCTTTTAGGTTCTCCATGTTTTCCTACTGAATTGTATGAGATTATTAACAAGGATGTGAAACTATTTATCACATGCTTGGCATTCCCCCCCAGTATTTTATATGTATTTTCATTCTGTTTATAATGCATCTTAATATCCGAGAGTTTTAAAATTTGTATGTAGTCCAAACCTACATATTTTCCTTGGTGTTTTCTTCTTTTGTGCCTTTGCTAGTGAGAGTGTTTGTTCCGTGTGGGGTCAGTAAGTAAGGCGTGGGTTGCCTTTTGTAGTCTTTGAGTTGCTCTCTCATTGCAAGGTTGCCCTCTCATTAGTGATAAAGAACCTGCCTGCTAATGCAGGAGACATAAAAGATCCCTGGGTCAGGAAGATCCCCTGGAGGAAAGCATGACAACTCATTCCAGTATTCTTGCCTGGAGAACCCTATGGACAGAGGAGCCCGGCAGGCTTCAGTCCATAGGGTTGCACAGAGTTGGACATGACTGAAGTGACTTAGCACGCAACTAGCTGTTTGGATGCCTGTCTTCTTCACCAAACTGTAAATGACTTGAAGGGAGGGATCATGTCTTACCTCCATGAATCTATAACAGTGCCTTGTATAGAGATCTCCTCACCCCAATATTTGGGACTTGAACTGTAGTATGTATTAACTATGGATGTGATCATCATGCCTGCTTTATATTGACAGTTGAGAATACAAGGCTTCAGAGTGGTCACATGGCTTGCTGAGAGATTGGTGGAAACCTACATTTTCACATCTTGATCTCTATCTTTTGCACCCTGTCTGTCTGTGGGGTCCCCCTACAAGGTGATGGGTGGTATGGAGGATGTGCTCAGGAGTGGTGATAATGGGTACAAAAGGGCAGGGAGTCAGTACCCTGTCCTTAACTCACAAACCCGGATGGAGGAGGGGTCCAGTCATGGGAGGGGGTGCTGCTTTCATTCTCTGGGTGCCCTGGCGTTTATCCCCAGGACCTCTCTGCTGCACAGCCACAGTCCAGAGAAGCCGTCTCCTCCAGTCCTGCTTCTACCAACTCTTCCTCATCTTCTTTTCCCAGCTGGATACTTACAGTCTCCCTGGCATAGCCTCCTCCATACCACAGGGAACTTTATGCTTGTGAGAGATTCAATTAGATGGACGCCTGGTACTCTGATCTCTACTGCCAGCCCAACTCAAAACTAATGAGGCGCAACAAAAAACAACTGCTCTGTCTTCTCAAGTTCTTTTTTTATGGGGCCCATAAATTTCAAGCAGGAAAGTACCCTTGGTGAACGGTTTTAATCAAGGGCCCGAGTTTCTGAAACAGCATCCTTTCTGTGGTTGTGAAATGATAATTCTGGCTTGTGGAATAGGGTAAACTGAGGCCCTGGATGGTTGCAGCCTGCTCCAATGCAGCAAGGAAGGGACAGAGCATGGGAAAGAAGATCCAACACCCACATCTTGAGGTCTTCCAGCCACAGGTTCTGGTGATACATGGAAACCACTGAAACACCAAATGCCCTAATCACAGAAAGATTAGGGAGAGCTAAGATCACGTCATCTCGGGGAGGCTGATACTGGGGGTCTTTTTGTTAGTAAGGGTCTTCTCTATGGAAATCTATTAATTACCTTTGAGGAGGCAGTTCTTTCCAGAATAACAATATAAGTCACTGGGCTTCCCCAGTGGCGCTAGAGGTGAAACCACCTGCCAATGCAGGAGACATAAGAGGTGTGGGTTTGATCTCTGGGTCAGGAAGATGCCCTTGGAGGGGGGCATGGCAAACCACTCCAGTATTCTTGCCTGGAGAATCCCATGGACAGAGGAGCCTGGCAGGCTACAGTCCATGGCATCTCAAAAAGTCGGACATGACTGAAGTGGCTTAGCACACATACATAGGAGTAGTAAGCCACCATCATTCCTTACCTTTGTATAGCACTGTAATAGCTTAGAATGTGCTTTCCCAATCCTTCTCTGTTTGAACCTCATAAAAAACTGGCAGAACAGTTACTATTATTCCCATTTGATTAATCAGAAGAATGAGGATTCAAGAGATTAAATAATGGAGAAAGAAACGCTTTCTAAATAGAAATGCAGTACAAAATCCAACCAGTTAGTTGCTAGGTGCTTTGCCTAAGGTCTCACAGGTAGTAAACCACAGGGAAGGCCCAGAACTTGGTCAGGTGACCTCAGATGGGGTTCTTCTCCCATCACTTGTGTTAGATCACCTTCTGAAGCAGCACCCTGACTGCCCACGGAGTCACTTGGGAAGTTAGAAATACTGTTGATATTCGGGCCCCACAGGGACCAATGAAACCAGTGTTTCTGGAGGACAGACTCTTGGTACCAGGGTATGAAAAGCTCCTGGGGGACTTCTCTGGTGGCCCAGTGGTTGAGAATCTGACTGCCAATGCAGGGGACACAGGTTCGATCCCTGGTCTAGGAAGATCCCACAAACCACGGAGCAACTAAGCCCAAGCACCAAAACTAGTGAGCCTGCGTTCTAGAGCCTGTGTTCCGCAACAAGAGAAACCACCCAAAGGGAAGGCTGTGCACCGCAACGAAGAGTAGCCCCTGCTGCCACAACCAGAGAAGCCTGTGTGCAGCAACGGAGACCCTGCACAGCCAAGAATAAAATAAATAGGTAAATAAGTAAAAGAGTCTGGAATGGTTCTCATGAGCGTAGGGTTGAGGGCCACTTCCTTGGAGAGCTGGATGATTTGGCCCTGAGCTCCTATGTGTCGTAGGTGGGTCTTTTACCTCCATGGTTCTCCAATGCCCCTTGGTACAGTGAGGGAGTGGTCTCAGACCTAACCTCCAGGACCCCTTCCATCTTCAACATCCTAATTCTGGGAATCTGAGCAGTGGTTGTTGGTAACTATCTGTTTAAAGGGTTGCTTGGATATAGTTCGTGCTGTCTTTATTAATACTGACCACTTAATGGCTTTCTTGGAGCCTTCTGCCAAGTCACTCACCCAGCGAGCTTCCCCTGTTGTTTCCTGCTGTCTCGGTC